TTTTTTTTTTTTTTTTTTTCTCGCACTTTTTAGTTAATGCGCTAGCCAAGCCTATTTAAAGTCTTGAGGAATCCTCTTACGTGTAGTTGTTGTTTCAGTGTTTGTTGCATTGTGGGCGCAGACTATATGACCTTGCCCAAAGTGGAGCTAGTTGGACTAGTTGGGAGAAAGGTCGCCACAGGCCAGGTACAGCCATAACAATAAACAAGCAAGATAACGCCAATCACGATGGCAGTGCTTGTTGTTATGGGTAATCTGTGAGGCCGTTTCAGTGTAGATGATTCTTGTGTTAGGCGTGCTTGACAACCCAAGTCTTTGACCCATTCCAACCCCATGCCTGCAGTTCAAGACCATCTAGCCAGAAGCATCCATGGACCAAAGAATGCCCTACATGCGTAGCGCTCCGCGAATATGATAACCATACTTTAGGTGGACCCACCACCCAGTAANNTAGTGACTACAGGGGATAATGGGGATTATATTAGGGTCCTCTTATTTTCCTATTATACCACTATTACAGGGTGGGGGGTCCTCCTAAACCATTCTTGTGGAAGCAAACGCTTGCTGAGCTACGCTGCGGACAGGTGGACCATGCTGTGGGACTTGGGCCGGCCCGGGAGACTGATCTCATTGGAGTCATTCGCCTGCAGGCGCTATCAGGCCGGGGGAGCAACAGTTCTCCAAGCCGGTGGCCGGTACAATTTTGAAGATGGCTGTTTGCAATCCCAGTTTCCATGTTATTTTCCATTCTTCTTAACTTGATTCTCCATTACTCCTATATACCCCCCATACAATTTCACAGGAATATTGAGTTCCAGCAGGCTGCGCAGTCATGAATCATGAAACCACGGATGCGGCAGGTCCTTCCACCAGCAAAGACGCCACCCATTTGCACTGGTGGTTTGTAGCCTTGCTGGTGAGATGGGTGCCTTTGGATCTGCTGGTTGTACACCTGAGCCTCTGACAAGGTCAATATATTTCGTCATGTTTGACCATGCCAACCTCAGCAAGAGCTGGGAGGATGTCGCCTGGGTGTTTCGAAGCCTCGATGGATGCTCGGCAAAGCTGTTACCATGGCTGCGTGCGCCGCCAGTTCCTTGTGAAGGTTTTACTTGGGTCATAGTTCCTCATTGCCTCAAGTATCCTTGGACCGCGAATGAAAATGGCTGTGTGCTCCTGTCCGGCCAAAGCCCTGCTTGTGCCCAGGACAGACCACGGTGAGCATGTTCATGATACCCATGAACACGTCTGCTGGGAGCCAGCCAGCTGCAAGGCAAGAGGCTCCCATCGCATTGTTCAGGTGAGAGAAGGATATTTGAACTGCAGACAGTGCAAGCTACTGGTTGCGTGATCTTGTGTGCCATAATAAGGGCTCGAAGTCAGAAAATAATGGGAAACGCCAAGATGCAGAATACTTTCAGAAATGCCTAATGTGTGCAGCGTGAGCATCTGAGGTTGGGGCGATACGCAGTATGTCATAGAGCGGGAAGATGGTGCCGCTCTAAGAGTAGGAATGTAGCCAGCATGGTAGCAGCCCATTGTAGCCCTACAGTCAGAGGCCACCTGCAAATATCAAGCTGCTACAGCGGGTCGCCACAGGGAACCCGAAGTGTAGACAGTCTGGACAGCACCTTGCAAGACTTGTCACCCTCCAGAAGCTCCGATGATCGTCAACTTGAAATGCTTTTTTTTTTTTTGCACAGCTGGGCCAGGAGTAGGACCCCGAAAGAGAAGGAGCATTGTGGCAGCAGCCATCCTGGCAGTCCTTAGTGTGCTCATTTTGCTCACCCATCTGCTGACATGGTTCAGGTGCTGTGGTGGTCAGTGGTACGCTCGGTGCTCCTGGTGCGGCCAATGCCATAGACATCGGAGGAGGTCATGCTGAGCTAGATGAATTTTCGGCAGTCGCCGGGGAAATTTTGCAGCTGGACTAGCATGGTACTGCTCTGCTGCTGCTGCTGCTGCTGCTGCTACCACTACGTCGACTGCAAAGATCTAGATGAAAAAGAAGAAGCAGAAGAGGAAGACGAGAAGAGCACCAACCGCCAAGCAACTCCTCCCTATCTCATCACAACAACTCACCGCAATTTGTACCTCCTTGTGACCATGTTGTCGCTTCGGAGGTTTTCTTCTCCGAAGTTCAACTTAGGTATCTGACGGTGACGAGAGGCCCTCGCGCATACGGGATGATGCCAAGCAAGTTGTTTCTGATGCAATGGACGAGATATGCCATTCATTTTGAACGCAGACTCCTGGCAATTCCTATAGGAAAGCAGTAGCTGACTGAAGATCAGGGCATTTCTCAATCATGACAAGAATTTCTCTGAAATGGACCCCCCTGGGGAAAAAAAGTTTGAGACACCCCCATGCAGAAAACTGCTCAGCAGATGCATCATGGGCTCCTTCGCATGGGAGTGACAAAGCTAATGTATTCCCTTGCCATTGCCTCAACGTGATAAATGCTCCAGACATTCTGCTCTACCCCTTGTCGGAAGCACATTTTCTTGGGCTGCTTCTTGCTCCATGAAGGCAGCAGCACCGAGGGAGTGTGGTGGGTTGCTTGGCTGCCCGTAGTGAATCTTGTTGCTGCTACAATGTTTATGGTCATGTTAATTTCTATCGCATCCGGATGCTACTGGATGCGCGCACTACCGTGGTGCGCATCCTTTTCATGATCTGTTGGGTAGCTATTTTCGATCATGTCCTTGCAACGCATTTGCGCACCACTAGGACTGCCCACCCCCGCAAGAATTCGGCGAATTCATTCCACGCCTGCAAGCTAGCTAAACCCAAGGCGCTCACCGACGACTCCCTCGCTGCTTTGGCCGATGCAGATCAAAGCCAGATGCCTCTTGCCAGCTTTAAAATTGAAGCCCCAGCCAAAACAGGCGGTAGACACATTAATGTCTGCTATGTCTGCAACTGGAGCTGCAAGAATGGTGTGGGAGCTCTGCAGCAGGTATCCTTACCGCATGCCGTTTGTCGTGCCAGGACAACTGGGCTGGGAGATTTCTGCATGTTCTTCAAACGTAGCGCTCAACTCCGCAAGTGCGTGTCAATAAGACTGAGCAATGAATGAGAATGCGCTAGCTTGTGCTCACTGCAGCATTTGGGCTGCCTGCATAGGAACATAGTTACAACAGTTGCAACTAGTTTGTAGTTGTGGTTGCTGCTGCAACTGCTGCCGATGATGGTGATGATGATGATGATGATGATGATAATGATTCTATTGCTAACAGTGATAATGTTAATTGAGCACCGACCGTCACACACCCTTAAGGGACAAACCGCACTGGAGGCGATTACAAGGCTGCAAGAAAAGCCAACCATCATTGCCTAGGGCCTATTTGAAGTACCGCCATCAAGAACAGTCAGCAGCTATAATCATGAGGGCCATGCAATGTGTTCGTTCCAGGCACCCTCAGTGGGCTGCCATGCTGGCAAGAGCCACAAAAAAGCCCGAAAGTGGACCAGAAGCTGCGAAGTGTCTGCATAGTTCTCAGAGCATCTCGCACAAGGAGCTGTGCTCAAATCTGGCGGGGGTGCAATCAACAAGGCGGAGTTTGTGGACATTTTTGTCGACCCGACGGCGGAGTTGCGTTTCGGATAAACTGTGAAGGCAGTCATGCTTTTGCAGGCTTTGAATGACCTGGGTTCAGATGTATTCATGTCTGCGCATGAATTTCGGTCATGAATCAGCATGCGTAAAACATTTTTTTCCGGCTCGCCTGCTTTGATATGGTAGTTTCCCAAAATGGACCCCAATATAGACAGCCAAATCTTATGATCCTTATCATAGGGACCCCCAAATGGCATTTCCAATTTAGGGAAACCTCCATCTGGCTTTTGTTGTCCGCGCTGCTCTCAAGTTGCTGCCCATCTGGGAACTATCGGGAGCTGAGGAGCTTGTCCGTGTGGATAGGCCAGGCTGCCACTTGAGTAGTTGCCAAATTTAGGGTCCCGGTTTGGTACCTCTACATAGAAGGTGCTGTAATATAATCTACAGCCAGTCATTTTGAGAACAACCAATTTGTTGGTGCTTTGAAGCTCGGACGGACCTGCTATCTGCAAGTCAAGACATCCTATTGCATGAGCAGCCGTGTCCCCGATGCAGTGTTGTCATTCCCGTGCTGGCATAAGACTGCCTGCTGATGTTGATGTGCAGCAGGTCCGAATGCCAGCGGAGGTCAGAACATCAGTGGAGAAAACATCGCCTGGGCACTTCAGCTGATTTCAGCTAACCAAAGCAGATTGGATTCTGAAAACTGAGACCTGCTTCAGATACCTGAGTCGTCGTTACTGACTACAGCAGGGAGTCAGCAGGATGGGACGCAACGTAGCTTGCAACTGTTGTTTGAGAAGCCCAAGCACTAAGGCTGCTCTTAGATTATGCTGAAGTGTGTATAGGCAATGACGCGTTTGATTTTTGAAAGTTTAGGCATTGAGACAACAAGTTGCCAGAACCTTCCAGGCAAAGCCCTGGTTTTCTTTTCGTGCCTGCTTGTCCTCATGTGACTGTGGGGCTTTCTCCAACTTGTGATTGCTTTCTGGTGCCTTCATCATGAGGACCATGAGGACCCAATGTTCGCTATCATCTTGCTAAAGACTTGATGGAAAGTTCTGAAGTGTGTTCCTGTTTTTGTGGTCGCCTGGTAGCAGCCTTCAGAACAGATATTGGAGTTTTTCAAAATCATTCCTATGGAATCCCTCCGAAGAAGTATTTCCATAATCCCAACCCTGCGATAGGAAAATACCTCAGGTACTGTATGACAACAACATGGACGTCATTCTTCGAGCTGATGGAGATTCACAGGATGCATTCACGTAATATGGCTTTGGGTATATTATAATAAGATCCCCATATACCCCATATTCTATCTACTTAAGGGGGGCTATATCCTCAATATCCCATGATCCCGTGTGGGCGCAGCAAACGTCTTGACATGTCCTGCTTCGCAGCATCCCGCAGCCCCAAATAGCGCACGTGCGGACTTCGAATCCAATCTCAAAGCCAAATAGTAGTTTCCCAAAATAAGGGGACACCAATATGGACCCCAATATACTACAGTCCTTGTTATAGGGACCTCCAACCTGGTTGTGACCGCGCCCTGGTTGAGCCTGGTGGTGACCGCGCCCTGCAGTGTCCCACTGCGAAATCTGATTTGCTCAATTCGATTTGGATGCACGTGAACTGACCTGCAGGACAAGTTCATATCGAACGTGAGGTTCTCGCCTCGTGGTTTGCCCGCAACACCAAGTGCTTGAAGAGTCAGGCTTTAGGCAAGCCAAGCCACACTGAGATAGGTAATGGTGGCACTTCCAATGGGAGTTCAGCATGAGGACGAATACTCTTCGTCGACTGTGTAGAAATGTTCACTGCTACCCTGTATAATCCCAGATTTTTCATGTTGATTTCCATTTGATTCTCCATTATCGTTTTATACCCCCCTACGCATCCCCGTCTGACCCTGATGTACTCTGAGGAACGGGACTCCTCGCTGGCAACCCGGCGGGATCTCAGTTCTGCGAATTATGTAGTAATAGTAATAGTAATGGTAATAGCAAGAGTAATAGTAATAGTAATATATATTGGGGTTACATAGGGTTTAGGGTTTCCCAAAATTAGGGGGTACCTTTTTGGGGTTTCACAAATCAGGATACCTATGATAAAAGCTGCAGTTGTTTCACAAGTGGTCACCAATTGCCCATGGGGAGACACCTTTCTTGAATACTTTTTTAAGCACTTATAGTCCCCCTTAAGTAGATAGAATATGGCTTTGGGTACATTATAATAAGATCCCCATATACCCCATATTCTATCTACTTAAGGGGAACTGTACTTGCAGCAGGGTCATCTTGTCAGTCAACTTAGCAGGTCTAGCTTGCCCTATATAACCCCTGTATAACGCCATATATAACCCCTATATAACCCCTATATAACCCCTACATAACCCTACAGTAGTTTCCATGTTCTTTTCCATGAGCCGCATATCCTAATTGGTAAGCGAAATTTTGGCCCTCCCACAGCTTGAGGTCCGACTACATTGCCTCTTGGTTGCCATAGTTGCTGCTCAAGCATGCTTGAGGGAGCATTTCCAATTGCGTGTTCGTGCTTTTTTTGATGGTCCCTGCTTATCACGGCAGCTCAGGCTCCTGAATAAGTGGAGGGATGCTGTTTGAAACCTGGCAGAGTGCATGGGTAGGTCCTGCGAGCTGAGGACAAGCAGCACTACCTCAAGCACGGCATCTTCTACCACAACATCTTCCACCACGACATCTTCGACAACGACATCTTCGACAACGACATCTTCCACCACAACATCTTCCACCACAACATCTTCTACCACGTCCTCCTCTACCACATCCTCCTCTACCACGACGTCTTCCACAACAAGTACCCTCGCCGCAGGCAGATGACAACTGCGTGAGCGGGCCATCCTAGGACCCTAGGACCTAGGCAGACATTTCCGCAATGTGGAAGTTTTTGAAAGTTCTATTCTCTGGTCGTCAAGCTTGAGCACCGGAATGTCTGTCTCCACTAGCTGGTTGAATTTTCGTCCTCCAGTAATAGAGCTCACTTCTGCGGCGCCTCGTGTCGAATATAGCTCTAGGCTTTAGCTCCTGATAAATCCAGGGCGCTACATGAGCTATAGTCTAAACTCCTAATATCCCCCTTAATAAGCCCTATAGTAGTCCCCTATATCATTCCCTATATAACCCCCTTTAAGGAGTTTAGACTATGGCTCACATAAGTACAGGCCTCTTTGTTAGGACCTCGGCATGATCCTGGATACAGATCGTGAATTGGCCGCAATGAATCGCTCTAGCTTCTGGTAGTTTTCCCAAAATAGGGGGACCCTAATATAGGCCCCAAAATACTCTCGTCCTTATTATGGGGAACCCCAAAATGGTACCCCTAAT